GGCAAAAGGCAGGCAGTATCACTATACAAGCAGAATGCAGTGTCACATCCATAGAAGGCAAGCAGCAATATCCACGTTGCCCTCACGTTGCTCCACTGCTCCATCTAGAAAAGATAAGGACCGGCAATCCAGAGCATCGGCTCCCACTCAGTGCCCATCGGCAATCGGGTCGTGGATACTCAGCGCGTTTACGACATCGCCGTTCGCGAGTACGCCCGCGGCTTTCGCGTCGACTTTCGCGTCGACCTTGTCCGCGTCCACGTTGCCGTTCGCATCCAGACTCTTCTTGTAAGCCTGCGCGTGGGCCCTCTGCGCACGACCGGACGGATCCTCGGGACATCCTGCACGATGAAAAGGAAACCGCTTAAGCCATGGATGTTGGGCGTTAAAGAGAAGAGAAACTCACCCCAGTCGGCCCTGGGGACCCATCTGACAACACTCTCGAGGCATGCTCTCTGCGGGAAATGCTTCTCAAACACCCTCCTGTACCAGAACGCCTCCTTCGTGCTCGGCGTGTCATCCGGGAACCTGTCCCTCCTCGTCTCAAACTCCTCATCCGAGACCACCGCCTCGGCGTGGTCTCTCAGCGCGTCGATCCAGCCGTAACCGACCCCATCGGAAAACTGCTCCTTCTGCCTCCACAGGATCTCGTCGGGCAAGTAGGGCTCCTCCTTATCGTCGAAAGCCTTGCGGAGGACGTGCTTCTCCATCCGGTGATAGTATGGCGCCTTGCCCGTCAGCTTGTGGCTCGCAGGAACCTGCTGCATGACGACGTCCAGGAAGTCGCGGTCGAGGAACGGCACGCGCGCCTCGAGCCCCCACGCCATGGTGCTCTTGTTGGCCCTCAGCGTGTCGGCCGTGTGAAGCGCGCGGAGCCTGCTGACGCACTCGGCGTGCAACGCGCGCGCGTCGGGAGCGTCGTGGAAGTACAGGTAGCCGGCGAGGGCCTCGTCGGAACCCTCGCCAGAGAGAACCATCTTGACGCCGGCGGCTTTGACCTTGCGCGAGAGGAGCCACATGGGCGTCGAGGCGCGGACGGTCGTGACGTCGTACGTCTCGAGGTGGTGGATGACGTCGGGGATTGCGTCGAGACCCTCGGTGGTGGTGAACGTGAAGGCGTGATGACGGGTTCCTAAGTGGCGGGCGGCCCGGGCGGCGGCAACGAGATCCGGGGAATTTGGGAGGCCGATAGAGAAGGAGTGGAGCTGCTCCATTGGAGAGCGATTTGAGATGGATGCTGTTGGTTATTTTGATATGTGAGCTAGACCCACATTATGAGAAGGTACATACATCCGACGTCATCGCCATCCTCGGCCTGCTGCTCCTTCTTTCGTAATCGGACGGCAATGGACGCGATCAGGCTCGAGTCTAAGCCGCCGCTCAACAAAACGCCGTACGGCACCTCGCTCATCAACCGCTTCTGCACGGCGGCCTCGAGCGACTCCCTCACGGCCGTATACATCGCCTCGTCCTCGTCCGGCGTGTTCTTCCTCGCCATCTCCTCGTCCGTCGGCAGGCCCTTGACCGGGTGGTCAAACCACGCTGGTCGATAGTACTGCGTAAACTCCTTGGTCGCGGACGAGTAGAAGTGGCCCGGCGGGAACGAGATGATACGGTCGCAATCCTCGTTCAGACTCTTCATCTCCGATGCGTACCAAACGCTCCCGTCCTCGGACCTCCAGCCCATATACATGGTCGTGATGCCGATGTGGTCGCGTGCGACGAGGTGGAGGTCACGCTCGCGGTCGTAGAGGACAAAGGAGAACATGCCATCGATGAGGTTCAGGAACATGGCCGGATCTTCACGCCCGAGCTCCTCGTACAGGTGAAGGATGACCTCGCAGTCAGAGTTCGTCTTCCACGTGTGATGCTGCTTGAGCTGCTTGCGGAGTTCGTTATGGTTGTAGATCTCGCCGTTGACGGAGAGGAGCACGGAGTCGTCCGAGTTGGTCAGAGGCTGGGCGCCACTATCTTTATGACATTGGCGCGTTACGTCTCCGTGCAGAAGTAGAAAAACAATAAACGCGCAGCAGCTGCCTACTCACCAACTCCAACAATCGCCAGGCGCTCATGGCAGAGGATGACGTCGTTTTCGCCAATGCTCTTGACGCCGCTCCAGTCTGGACCACGGTGACGGATTCTGAGGAACATCGAGCGCGACGATAAGAAAAGAAAGGATAGCGGCCGTTAGTTGATCAGTTCAGGAGTCCATCCCGACACGCTCCGACGTTATCGGGCCGGCTGTCGAGGCTGCCGGGCCGTCGCCGAAATCCTCCACAGCACTCACTTCTTAGACAGCTCGATCGCCCGTTCCCTGAAGGCTGGGTCGGAGCCCTTGCCTTTCCCAAAGACTGCGAAGATTCCGCACATGCTGTTCTCAGTGTAATCGTCGCCACGGAGGCGGTGTCGTGCAGGAAGGCGCCGCTAGCTCGGTCGGGAGTCGGGAAGGAAAAGACAGTCCGCAAGTTTCCGGGCCGGACAAAAAAGTGTAGTGGCGACGGCCTGTGGATCGGGCGGCTACCTCTTTCGCTAACGACGCAGGAAGGTTGGCGAGGTGATGTCGTGATTGTGCTGCCACCAACCCGAAACGTGCTTGAACGGAAACGGCGACGTCCCTGAGCCACCGGTGGCGCCGCTGGCCGCGGCTTTCTACGCGTAAACCGTTTAGCCTGGGCACCTCGTGATCTGTGTGGGAGGTGTTGAGGCACAAGATGACCGACTGCCCACGCCTCTTCAACACGGAGCATCTTCAGTATGAAGATTTAAAGATTGAAAGCGGACCTAGGCAAATAGCGTCACATATTGAGTACTGAATCGCAAATCGCCTTAAGTATGCACAAATATCTTTGCAATGCACCAATCATCTTCTTCGATAGTATAGTGGCTAGCATCTCCCCCTGTCATCTCTGACGGGATCGTTCGGGGAAGACCCGGGTTCAATTCCCGGTCGAAGAGCTTGCTGTCACTGCCCCACTGTGGTGCCCGCCGAATGCCCCTTTTGCTGTTGTAACCTTTTTATTGCTGTAATTTTAAAGCTCTTTCCTTGCTTCTTGAGTGTCCCGCAGCGGTCTGAGCATCAGCGTCGAGCACGAGGTCTTCCACCGTTCTTTTTGTCTTCACTCCGCCGCGCTGTCGCCCACCATGTTTCCCGGTTTGCCTTTTTTTGCCTTTTTTTGTCGCATTTACTTTCATTCACATTTTTTACAGAAAACATTTGTTCATCAACTCCTTGAGCTAATTATAATTAAGCTGCTGAGAGTAGGCGGATTTCTCGTCAACAATTGATGGTGGTCAACTTTTTTAGAGTTAGCTCCAGCAGATGCTTGAAACTTTTGCTTCAAGCCGTCAACGGCCAACCTCACGCATCACCAGAAGACGAACGACGATGAAAGCCCTGCTTGCCTCCCTAGCCCTCGCTGCCGTTGTTGGAACCGTCAAGGCCCAAGTGCCCGCATGGCCTGGTGCCGCCCCGGGCCCGGATCTGGGGATCGCGTGGGGTTTTGGAGGATGTAGGCATTCTTTCCTCCCTTTACCTGTGGATGAATGCCAGATCATGCGGCGGAGGTGGAGCGGCGGAGGGAGGATGCTGGAGACAATGGCAGCAGAGAGACGAGCTGCGATAGGGTTCAATGATGGCTTCATGTTGGGTTGGGACCGGCCTGATCGGTTTGTTATTGATCATCGACGGTCTCAGTGGTGCAACAGTTCTATGTGCACTCGCAGGACTTGACTTTGGATTAGACGAGAAACCTTTGTTCCCTGCGGACGCTTCACTAAATTCTCACATTAGCCGCTTATCAGCTGGAAGGCTCCATCTCTGCTGACGGCAAGGGTCCTAACACGTACGACCACTGGTATGTTTGCAATTATCTTTCTTGCTCCGCCTCGTGTCACTGACGTGTTTATTCATCGCTATAAAAGGTTCAACCAAGGTAGCGGTAACCAAATTACCGAGAACGGCAACGTCGCCATCGACCACTACAACCGCTGGTCCGACGACCTCACGTACATCAAGACGCTTGGCGCGACGGCCTACCGCTTCTCCATCTCCTGGAGCCGCATCTTCCCAAACTGCAACGGGGCGACGCCAAATGCGGCCGGCATCGCCTTTTACAGCAAGTACATTGACCGCATCAGGGCCATGGGAGCCGAGCCTTACCTGACGATGTTCCACTGGGACCTGCCGCAGGCCTGCGTGGACCAGTACCAGGGCTTCGCTAGCCCGAAGATCGTGCAGGACTTTGTGAACTACGCGGACGTGTTGTTTAAGAACTTTGGCGATAGGATTACGTACTGGCTTACGCTGAACGAGGCGGACGCGAACTGCAAGGTATGAGTTTTTTGTGTCCTCGGATAAAGCTATGATGTCTAACTACCGGAACTTCAGTTTGGATATCAACAACCCCCGCAGCCTGACAACGCGACTCAGGCGAGTATATGCGGCTTTCCCACCGCCGACCCGAGCATCTACTGTCTTGCGCCGGCCTTGGGTCTCGGCCCGTCAGGGGGCAAATGGGCGTGCATGAAGAATAGCCATTTGATACATGGATCTGTCGTTCAACACGCCAGGAAGAACTATCCAAATAAGAACTGGAAGTTTGGCATGCCTGCCATCATCTCCTGGTACCAGGCCGTACCGGCGGATGATCCCACCTGTGCGTCTCTCCCGTTGTGGTTTCTTAATTTTGGTTCTGATGTTATGCACAGATTTGGCGAAGGCCCAGAACAGCTTCGAGGTCGACGTCGGCGAGTTTTGGGACCCTATTGTCTTCGGTGACTGGAGTACGGCTTTGAAGAACAACCCCGGCAGCCAGCTCGATGCGACGGCGTACTTCACCCCGGACGAGACGGCCATTATCAAGGGCACGATGGTTTGATCACCTGGTCGCAAGGCATTTGCTAACGCTGTTGCCTGCAGGACTTCATCGCGCTGAACTACTACACGGTCTACCCTGTCGGCGCCGACGGCGCCGTCGTCCCAGACTCCATCCAGCGCACCGACAACTACTGGACGACTATTTATGCGCCCGGCCTGCAGGGCGTGCTCAAGCAGGCACACGCATACTACACGTCCCACGGCGCGAACCTTGACATCCACGTCACGGAGTGCGGTGTCGACGTCCAGGGCGAGTGGAATATGACGCTGGAGGAGGCCGTGGCCAACGACGAGCGCGTCCAGTTCTGGAGGAATCACACGCAGTACCTCGAGATGGCCATCACACAGGATAAGGTGCCCGTCAAGGCGTTCATGGCATGGAGTCTTTTCGATAATTTCGAGTGGACGACGTACCAGCATCGGTATGGGCAGATCGCCGTCGCGGGGAGCTATGGGAACAATCTGACGAGGACGATTAAGCACGGCGGCTACTTCGTAAGTTTGACTTCGAAAAGGGGGTTTACATTGCGCTCGGTGTTTTACGTGGCCTTGCTTTGACTCATTTTTTCGCGTTGCAGCTCCGAGATTACTTTTCAAAGTCCACCTCGCCTTTCCCACCCGTTTCGGCGCCAGACGCGACGTCGGCCGCCCCCGCAGCGGCAACGGGAGCCGCTGCCTCCGGCACGCCATCGCCGGCTGCGTCCGTTTCGGTTACGTCCGTTGCGGCGCCGGTCTCGACAAAGTCCGCTGCGCACGCGAAAAGCTGGTCGATGGAGGTGGCGGTGCTACTCATCGCGGCGGCCATTGGTGTTATCGCTTGAGACAAAACCACTCTGGCTTATTTTTATTGGCTCCGATGGTGCAATAGTAGTCGGGCTTTCCTTCCCTGTCGTTTCTGTTCCGGTTTTTCTTTCATTTTTATAGCCTTTTCGTTTGCCATATGATTTCGTTTTACTCTGCTTTCCTTTGTCTTCGCATGTTACATAACACTCGGCGATCTTGACATTATCATTCCGCATTTGAGTCCAATACAATGATTAGCCGCCGTTTAAAAAACATGGCTCACTCTGCATATTGAAATGCACAGTGGTATCTGTGCCAATCTCCGCCGACGTGACGGGTATCCTCGATGCCGTCGGCGACTCAGAACGGCCCTCTTCGTTGTCATATCGGCGTCTCGGTGGTTCGGGAATTCGGCGATTATGAAGTTCATTGACGCCTGTGATATAAATTGTTGACCAGCCCCCGTTGCTGCATGATCTACTGGAACCATCACAGCCGCGAGCACGAGAACAAGATGGCAGGCAACAACGGAGACGATCAACAACATCACGGCGAGCACGGCCACCAGCACCACCAGCACGGCGACCGCTCGGGAGATCCGATGTGGGACCACAAGCACGCCCACAATCACCACTCCTTCGACCAGGCCGCCGCCGACTGGGACTCGAACCCGTTTATCGTCGAGGCCTCCCTCAAGGCCTACGAAACCGTCTCCTCCCGCGCCCGTGCGCTCTCCGTCGAATCCACCCGCGTCCTGGACCTCGGATGCGGGACGGGCCAGCTGTCGGCCCACCTGGCCCCGCGTGTCAAGTGCGTCGTTGGCGTCGACACGTCGGAGGGAATGGTGGGCGTGTTCAACGCCAAGGTCGCGTCGAAGTATGCCAACGCCCGCGCGGTGTGCATCACGCTCGAGACGAAGGAGGACGTCGCAAAGCTCGGTGGTGAGGAATTCGATCTGATCGTGTCCAACCTCGTGCTGCATCACATCCCGGACATGAGGGCCACGCTGGGCCTGCTGGTGGAGCACGCGTTGGTGTCGGGTGGGCAGCTGGCGCTGACGGATTTCGAGGCGGACGACAAGGGCCACTCGGTGTCGTTCCATGACCCCGCGATCGTGGAGTCGCACGGCGTCAAGAGGCATGGAATCGACAGGGAGGAGATCAAGGGGATTCTGGTTAGTATCGGTTTGAAGGACGTGTCGGTGGAGTGGGCGTGGACGCAGACAAAGGTCCTTGGGCATGAGGGCGGAAGGAGGGGGGAGTTTCCGTTCTTGATCGTGATGGGGACTAAGTCGTAGTGCTCGTTATCTATCTTTTCTTTGTATTTAAACCACATCTGTACCTTCCTGATTTGATAAACAATAAAAGACATTGTGACAGCTTTCTCTTTGCGCACCTTCGCGCAGTGATTATCATTTTTGTAGTCAGCAAGTTGCTTTTCCCTTTTATTACCAGAGTCAGAGAAACAACTTCACTCTATAAAACTCGTTCGTTGCTAGCCGTCTTCTTGCAGACTCTTATAGCTTGTAGAATATGTCATAACATTGCTCTCGCTCATTGTTCTTACAAGCATGTACATTTGCTCATCATCCAACTTTACTTGTTGTTAGTAACTAACTGCCTACATAAAACATGGCACCCTTTTTTTTAATTTTACTATGATTAATCAATAAAAGGCAATATGATGACCTCCCTCTGCGTAAGTTTGCGCAATGACTTTTTTTTTTTCCATTAGTCGCATTATTTTTTTTTTTTTATTATTATTAATAATACGCAGAAAAGCAATTTAGCTCTGTCACGTATGGAACAGCTTGTCAAGTCGCAGATAGAAAGTACGGTATACGATATCATACCTAGCTCGTTGTGACCTCCTCCCAAACCGACGGAATGTTGTGTTATCCTTTTTTGCCCTGTACCCTCAGTCACCTGACGTTGCACACATTGCTTACGTGCTTAGTCGAGTGTATGCGCCTTATTCGGCATGTATAAAAGGCCACGGCTACCCCTCGTCATTGAGAAACGTGGTCTGCTTGGACGTTGTGCCCAACGCCCCTTCATCTTTGTTCAACGCGCCAGCCCTGGTCGTGTGAGCCAAGCACTGAGGGTTCCGAGCACCTTTCCTCCCACCCCTGGTCGCTGCCCCTTCCCTTTGTTCCGCGTCGTCGTCCTTCCTCGTCGTCGCTGCCGCCGATATTCGCAGTCCTCGCCTCGCAATATCGTTCCCGAAATCCGCTGCCATCCGCTGCTCATCCGCCCGCCTCTCTTCCACAGCAATGCTCGAATCCATCCTCACAGGC